TCGAGCCCCTGTCGACGCATACCTGATATCTATGGTTGGCCTGCAAAATTTGGGCTACCGATATTCATGCTGAAAATTCTATACCTGTACCAAAAATACAGTGTGGAATCAAGCTGTAATCAAAGATAAAAAGTATAAAAATTTAAAAAAAACAGTAAACATTCCCATGGTAGTCATTATAATAGAGGTTTTTGTATTTCCCAGTGAATGAAAAACAAAACGATATTGTTTTTACTGATGTTTCGCTATTTAATGCTGCTGCTAATATTATTAAACCGGAATTTACAAAATCCACTCAGCTTATATATATCAAAGAGTTAAGAGGTGGGGAAATAGACCACTTAGATCAAGGTAAAGGGAGACATATTGAAAGTCAAAATAACAATGAAGATCACTAAACCAAATAACAAAGGTAATAGTACATCTGTTATGATATCAAAACAAAGTTTACTAACTTGATCATCGTTCGTCAGTCTGGGGTCATTTTTCGTTGTCAAGTTGCTCAGTTGGTAAAGATAATAAAACTAAGTGTATACAATTGGGGGATGGTGGCTAGCAGTGGAATCCAGGATGCGCATTTCGTCCTATTTGGGACTCGTCAGATGGATGTACCTGCATTTCTCAGTGAGTGATGAGGTTCCCACTGAGGCTCGAACCCAGTGCCCATAGTTTCAAACGCCAAAGCGTTATCTCGTGGCTTAAGTGGTCTAGTGGATAACGCTTTGGCGTTTGAAACTATGGGCACTGGGTTCGAGCCTCAGTGGGAACTTCACCACTCACTGAGAAATGCAGGTACATCCAGCTGACGAGTCCCTAATAGGAAGAAATGCGCATCCTGGATTCCACTGCTAGTCACCATCTACCAATTGTATACTAATTAAATGCCCAGACATCGTCGAGACATCTGCACAAGAAGCCGTCATGTCAACCTGAGACCGAGCACTTCGGTCCAATCAATCGACGGGAAAATCAAAAATTCAATTCAAAAACTAAGTGTAGATTGTGAAATACTTGATCATCGTTCGTCAGTCTGGAGTCGCTTTTTGTTGTTGATAACAAAATCAAGTGTAGATTCATATAAACTGTGATCAAGATTTGACCGGATAGTTGCAAAATAATTGAGCGCTCAGTGATAAGTAGGCATTTTATAAAATTATATTTGTAAAATCTCAGAGAAATTGAAATAATTAATTCCAACGTTTCGTTCGTCAATCTGGTTAGTTCGAACTTCTTCAGAGAAATTAATCGGAATTAACCTAACAGAGGTTTATATAAAACTTTGTCCAATCATGAGCCATGAAACAGGTATCAACATGTATAATAAATAAAATTGTACGTTTATATATAAAAGTACATCTCTTGTTTTAAATTGTTTGTCCTGTCATATGAATCAAGAAACAGATATCAATAGGTATACTAAACAAAACAAAACAAAAACTGTATGAACTGTGATCAAAAATTTGACCTCAGACTTTCAAAATTAGTCTACTTTCGAACAAGGCATTAAGAAGACAAATTTCACGAGATGATATCTTCATTTTGTAGTTTCTTTACAACCGCTTTACAACTAACATGGTTAACAATGATAAAGTTCATGAAAATTACTCAGTTAAATAAAAACAAAAGTGCATACTAATAACCAATCATATTAAGAAACTGTGAAACTGTTTCACAATTATTTCACACAACTCTAATTCAAGGTTATTGAAGGTGATGGAAGCACTTTGGGGGATTAATCACATACAGCCTAAGCTGTGTATACAAAAATCAATAGACTTCAATCTTCGCCTATCCTGGACTACATGACCTATTTAATTATGATTGGTCATTAGTATGTACTTTTGTTTTTATTTAACTGAGTAATTTTCATGAACTTTATTTTATCATTGTTAACCATGTTAGTTGTAAAGCGGCTGTAAAGAAACTACGAAATGATATCATCTCGCGAAATTAGTCTACTTTTGTTAAAATATATATGTGTATAGCAGTATACAATGGTGTGTGTGGGTGAACAGTCATAAAACATTTGTTATTCTCATATGAGGTGTGATCAAGATTTGACCGGATAGTTGCAAAATAATTGAGATTTTTACAAATATAATGTAATTTTTATAAATTTGTTATTCTCTCCATAAGAAGACGTAGACAATCGGGAATTTGACCAAGTGTGACTAGTTGTTGATACATATCCAATTTTATTTATTAGTCAGGATTTACCATGCATCAGCTAACATCACACCTTCACGTGTGTTCAAACTGTTGGGATTCCCCCACATATGTAGGGCTTCTGCAGTCAGTCTTTCTTTCTGTAAAACCTTAGTCTTATCAAAGTCGATTTTGTGTTCCGTTTCTATTGAATGCAGTGCAATCGCTGAGTTGTTTTCTAGCTTGTTCAAGTCTACAGAGGTCTTTAGAACCACCTTTAGACATTGTTTATGCTCTTTCACTCTTATATTCAACTGTCTGGAAGTTTCTCCTACATATACCGCGTTACAATCCCCACAATCGATCTGGTATACGCACTTCTGCTGGTTTTCTTCTTCTATTTTATCCTTAACCTTCACCAGTGATGAGGAGCGTAAGGTGTTAGATGCACAACAGTACACTCTTATGTTATGGTCGTTAAGGATTCTACGAGTAAATCACGGATTGATATCAGTTAGAGAACCATTGAAAACCAGGGAGTACTGGATAGATGCTGTTTCATCCTAGTTTGGGAATCATCGGCAGTACGCACCCACTGGGATTCGAATCCAGGACCTTCCGGTTACAATGCGAGCTCGTATACCATTCAGCCACTGGGACCCGATTCAATGGCTCATGAATTCTAACTTCTACCCATTCGTGATTTAGCGCGACCCTAACAGTAGAAAGTTAAGGATTCTCTTTATTTCCAGGTGAACATTAGACGGCTACTGAATGATACGAAGAGATCTCCAGACTAGCAAGTATTCTTTATCATTCTGGTTAAACATTCGGGTAGAATCTCTTTAGGAGCATCTCACTCGAATTGTAGACGTAGAAATAATGGCTTTCTCTTCATCACTGCTACTTCATTCATGTCTGCCAATATTATAACCTACCTATGTTGTCTTTTATACATTTCTCTGGATATCGCAAACATGTTAGCCGACCGACTGGACAAAACAATACTAAGACTGAGGCGTGAACAGTTCATCATGACATTCGTCTACACATCTGAGAACATTTATTCACCAGCCTAATATAGACAGCGTGAAATCAGATGCATAGAAAGTTCAATTCTATCACACTCCCCACACATACATCACTTCGGATTAGCGTTAACGCATTCTTTACGATTATTCGTCATATCTCACAGTCATCATCATATACACATACAGTAGGCCTACTCTCCTACACATACCTAAAGCTGTTGACTTAAGATAAACTAAGTCAGAACTCTATGTTCAGAGTGAGTAACCCGAGGTCATCCCCATCGTGACCAGACTTGGAATAAAATTGCCCCCCCGTCCCCCAACCAGTATTTCCCACTCTTTAAACTAATTTGGTCTCAATGTTTCACAACTTACCCTCTTCATTCGATCGTTCCTAAAGCACTGTCGTATCACCCCATACGTATATAGAATCTGATAAGCTATTCCGGTTGATTATTGTTAGTGTGATAATGCATGACTCCACTTCATTCCTTTCACATATTCATTATTTGATGACGAAGATGATCTATTCACAACAGACAGTCTCACCATTGTCTGTCTCATGTATCCCATCTTTGTACAAACTACCTACCTACTTACCTACGAAACACGTTTCACAGCCATAAAATGATTGAATGACTTAGAATTACAGTGATGATGATGACAAGTGAGCTATTCTGCAAAACATCTGTCTCCAGAGTGAATTGATGATTTCAAACCAGAATTCTTCTTCCTCCACACTGACTTTTAATTCATGCATCCTACGAGAGTATTATTTTATACTCTCGTTTAATCGTTTACTAAATGCATGCATGTCAAGCGCTTTCGAGATTTAGCCGTAATTTTAGGCCATCCATCCATCGTACATTTTCCAAGCTGATATTTCACAGGATCGAGTGAATCTTGGATGAATCACATGGGCACTACACAGTCATTTCGTCCTATGCATAACAAGTTAATAATCACCATACATTGAGAGGGAGAAAGATGATTACACTTTTAATACAGAAGTGAGCACAGTGTGACCATCATTCTGATAAGCTAATCCACCAACGACGAACTGACTGACATTCAGCCAAATTTCACTACGATAAGCTTTAAGTAATTTGGTGGAGGTTGACGCGCAGTGAAATCCACGATGCCCATTCCCTCCTATTTCGGACACGTTTTCCGATCGGGTGCACTCGCGTTCCCAGTGAGTGATGGTGCCCCCCTCCCCCACAATGAAGCTCAGACCCATTGATTCATCGGACCATAATGTCCGGCCTCTCGTGACAAGTCGACTGACTCCCAGTACAAATGCTTCGACTATGTCTTAGAATTAACCTCAAGTAATTTCTACAATTAAGTCTAATGCACCGAGTTCATTTCTACCTCAAGCATGAAATAGGAGGCCGGAAAAAATCTAAATAAACTAAAAGGTGAGAAAGACACAGTGTGACATGTGACTGACTACTCAGTTGGTTTGAACCAATAGCAAGCAACAAATGTCTGGAGATATGGTTCAAAACCCTTCTCACTGGCGCAGATCCATTCACTCTCTCCCTATCTCCCGGATCTATTGATCCCTCCATCGTGTTATTATCTCCATGTTACTATTCTGTCTCGAATAAATATCTCATCATCATAGCTCTTTCTTTCCTTGCTCTACTTTTGTCTCGTCTGGTACATCGATCATTGTGGCCGACCCAAACTCTTCCACTTCTCTACACAATCCAATCTCGAAACTAACTCACTCAGCCAACAACCAACTGTCAGCCATAACTGACGTCATAACGCCTACATTAATTATTAAACCGCTTAAATTAAAATAAAAAGACAACATTCTAGAGGTGAACAACACTTCACTCAATCAACATGTTTATTTCTTCATTCTCCCATTCGACAGTAAATAAAGATAGTACAAACTAACTTGTACAAAAATTATAAGGGTGTTATGTACTCGTCGCTGAATTATTGTTATGGTCTGGTCGAGAAATTAATAGTCCTGACGCGAGAAGGCGGAAATCAGAAGACCACTAGGTTTGCGATGATACTTCCATTGTCCAAACACAAGGAGACGAAAATAAATGGTCTCACACCAAAGTGGTAAGTAAGTAAAGTCAAGTAGTTGTAAAGTAAAGTAGTTCACACAAATTCTGAATGCGAATATATATAAATAATTCAGACAAGCGTGGGAAAAATCATTAGACAGTCTTAACATGAATGGCTAATTATAATGGAGTGTCGATCCAATTATACATAGCGAATATAGCAGACATGCCAACAAACATATATGGATATATGTCACCAAGCAACGGACTGTCAACAAACACTCATATTATATATAATATAATATAAGGAGAATACACATTATTAAAGGAGACAAGTCCATACAAGTGAAGTGGTCACAGACTAACCGAGCAAACAGAAAGAGAGACCAACATGCACACACACACACATAAATATATATATGTGGATACATATCAAAGGGAAAATAAAATCTTCACCGGTAGGCACCAACAACAAGCAAAGAAGCGTCACAATCAGTTAACATGCAGAGAATGTTGAAATTCATCACCCACCCCCATCCATTCTCAACTACTACTACTACTATAACAACGACGACATGCACATACGACTTAATCATCGGAAATCATCATGACATTCTCTTTATCCTCATCTGATGATGATATAGCCAACGTCTCAACCAATTGCAGAAGAGCTTCATTTCGTGTATTCCCATTCCCAGTGGCACAGATACGTTTCCCAGAAGTCCATGCAGCCATTGACTCAGAATTATCTCCATCATTTGAATCCAATGCCGTATTGTTGGAATTTCTATCACAAAAATGAATCAATTAATAAATAAAAAAGTAAGTAAAGATAAATGTTTCCCACAAGATTCAGAACACAACCAAATAACAACAAACATTGATTGAAGCTTTGAACAAATCACGTAGCAAAATAAAATTGGAAAGACTGATTCATCAATAGACAAAGAATATTCATTCCGACACATTCATTTATATATGACGCGGGCGGGAATCATTGAAGAAATACTGTTATCAATCAACAACATGATGAATGTAGGTAGTATCCACACACACACACACACACACGACACCTCAAATGGATCAGTAGGCGAGAGAAGGACAATACTCATTCATCAAACACAACACTAAACAGACTATCGGATCAATTGGTTCAGGTCACAATTATCCCAAAGCCTTCATTAAAAACAACGATGTCTAAAATGTGAAAATAAGCATGAATCGAAATCTGGTGCTAAGAATTGGCTGGGTGGTTAATACAGGATGAAATAAAAAGGCGAATCCTCAACAATCATGACAACGTACGAGTGTATTTTCGGGCAACTAACACCACCACCTTACACGCTCGCTCATCGCTGGTTAGTGAACGTTAAGGGTACAATATAAAAAGAAGAAGATAACCAACCAACCAACCAACTGAACTCTGTCTACCAGATCAATTGTGGGAATTGTGACACGTCGTAAATGTAAGAGAATCTTCGAGACAGGTAAATGTAAGAGGTCACCGGATTAAACAATATCTAAAGGTGGCTGTCCCTCTTAAGACGGCTGTGAACTTGAACAAGCTAGAAAACAGATCAGCGATTCCACTGCACTCGATGAATATGGGACACAAAATCGACTTTTGGTGGCAGGACTAAGCTTCTACACAAAGCTCTTCGTTCGGATGAGGAAAGACTGACCGCAGAAACCCTACATACAATATATATGAGTGAATCCCAAAGAAGTCTGAATACACGTGAAGGCGTGATGATATTAGCTGATGCATGCATGGAAGTCCTGATTAATTAATAAAAATGAATATGTATCACTCACTGATCAAACACACACTTGATCTAAATTCCCGTTTGTCTATATCTTCTTATGGAGAGAGGCTAACAAATGACTTACAATCGTATCCCCATACACATACACACTATTGCATACCGCATACACACATATATATATTTCCTGATATGCAGTTTTCTATGACCATGAAATTCAGTCGAAAGGAATGAAAATTAAATCTGATGAAAAACTACATGCTGTTTATATAGTGTTCACGAAAAGCAGACTAATATTCACCAGTCTCAGGTGGAATTTCGATCACAGTTCATGTAACCTTGTCTAGTATATTTTGATGTCTGATTCATAGAATTCCGCCGGAGTAGCAGAAGTGGCTGTTAACACAGCTCTATCTATATTGGACCAACCCTCTACAAACACACACACACACACGCCACAAAGCTATCGCTAAATAATCCTTCTCTATCATCCACCGAGTATCGAATAAATCACCAAACACCTCAAGATATCGAAAACTCAAAACAGCACACACCCTTGCAAATCGCCCATCACGTACAAAACTCTCTGCCTTCTCTCGCTCTCCCTCTGTGCAAAACAAACAGCTTCTGGAGTAAACAAACAATATGATTGTACACCTTTTGGTTACATGTCGAAATTAGAGACATTGTTCAAATACCTATAACTTCCGAGTACAATTCGAAAAGACACTATAGTGTTGGTAGCTTCACCTTCTCACTGGCCATTACTGTCTACTTACTTACTCCACTCATACCGTGTTGTATACTACTCAAGATGCATTGCAGGAATCTATTATCCTTATCCGAAGACAACTCTACAACCGGAACACACCTTCTACCACAGTACTAGTAGACACGATTCCAACAGTGAACACTTCTGTGGATTATATGAATAATAATTTGTAGCAGTGAACTGGACTTTAACATACTGTATATCCAAGTAACCTGTCTAAGAATATAACTCACTCATTACTGCTGCTGCATTTCTTGATAACAATATACTACTGTGACACTATCATCATCTCATTGACTGACTCGGATTTTTATTCGCATATTTCTTATGTTATATTGAACTGTCTAGACAGTAGTCCCCTACGCATTAATAATTGGTCAGGTCAGCCCGATGGAACATCTCAGCTTAGCTTAGCTGTATAAACTCTCTGTTTGTATTGCTTTCATCATTTATCTTTTTTTTTTTTAATGACTGAAGGATAGACAAATCACTGATGTACACTAACTAGGTGGTAGGGTAGGTCGACGACACTCTTATATATAGTCTGCCATAATTCTAATAATAATTGCCATCCTTCAATTCAATTCACAAAAATGAATCAATAATTCCACTTCTAGATGCACACAATTGACAAGAACAGGACAGGTGATGATGGGACACTGATGAAAAGACATACAGATCTACAGGTAACCGTGTCATGGGATGGATCGATGGATGGCGTACTATTCACAAACACTCTGATAATTCGAATCACCTGTCAGTTGAAATAAAAAAAGAGATTGCAGCATCTCACTGACGACACTGATCCACCACGTACCAGAAGAATTCCCAACACTTTCCGATGGTTTTCTCCCTAGCGTCGTACACAAACCAACAAAGTCGCTTCACTCAATTCTGTCAACCAAAAGAAGATGAAACCAACACCATCTACAAAATAAATTGTAACAACTGAGAAAAACACTACATCGGTCAAAGTGGACGTCCCCTTCGTCTTCGTATCCATGAACATAAGTCAGCCGTCAAGAGACATGATATCCACTCTCTCACTCATATCACTACACACAGACAACCATGGACATCAATTCGACAGGGACAACATTCAAATATTAGACAGAGGAAACAACAAGAATGCAACCCAGAGAATTTTTAGAAGGCCGCCTGGTATTCCAGTGAATCATCAATCAATAGACACATAGACATAGTCAAAATTTATCAACCGATAAGAAAGAAACTTCACACACAAGGGGTCAAAGTTCAAGTCAAAGAAACAATCAGTTCCAATACAAGTAACCTAGATGGTGTGAAAACACGCAAAAACAACCAATTACGTCCAAGGTGAGAGATGGTTAATAAACTCGGAGAAATCTAAAAACTCACTTCAATTCAAATTGAAGTATGCGCTGAAGATGTCACCTAGTAGGTTGATGAAAGCTTCGCAAATCAACCATCCAGCTAGCTCAGAGAACACAACCACATCAAAATCATCCACCTGAGCTACAAATCTTCTCTATCATATCTAAAATCAGGCATATAAACACGCGCGAGTGGACAGCTGCGCTTGAGGCTTGAGGAGGATCAACTCGCCAAAACAAAATATCTTTGCTCAACATAGAAACTCATAATACGTGCGGAGATTAATAAAATAAGAAAAGTTTCTACACTGTGAACACTATACACTCAAACACAGCAAAACGATTGATAAGTATTTCATCAGTCCATTTCTTCAACGATCCATTCTCTATCAGAATACACAATAATAATGACAATTAACGAAAAATGTGTTATGTGAAAGTAGTAACCTCTGGTAGTTAAATATTATGCTGGCTGGCTGGTCGTCAGTCGAGTAAACACAAAAATAATTCTCACGGCATTAATATTCGCTCACTGTGAACTACACATCACCATCTAAGTGTGCAATAAGAAAGAGGGAGCGATGAGTTTTGTCTAATTCATAAATTTATATATAATGGATTTGAAATCCAATGAAGGATTACCAAAAATTAATCAAGATTACGAAATAGTTCAGAATGATAATACTACTACCCCAAACGTTGTTTTCTTTGATCAGTATCATCGACAAGACAGATGAGACTGGGATGATTCCGCCCGTGACAGACAGACAGTTCGCATCGTATTTCGCTGTAGTCAAGTCACCAAAGTCGTCTACAACAACTATGTACCAGAACACTGTATCCACAAATTGCAAATGCACAAGAAACAATCATCTTACTACTGTCACACTAACTAACTGTCAACTGGAAAATACCAGTAGGTTCATCATATGACGACTGATGACCTCAATTAACTCGAACAAAGAAAGAACAAACATCACGTATTCAAGAGCATGGTGACTAGCAATCGAATCCCGAGTGCGGATCCCCTCCTATTTCAGACTCGTCAACTCAATGTACATGGATTCTCTCTCAGTGAGTGATAGCATAACCAATGAGACTCTCGAGAGGGAGGGCTCACGCCGTCCCTGTCTATAGCATGATATCCGACTGGCTATCGACCAAAGGGCATGTGTGCTGCTCACCAGTCCGCTCCGTTCTTCTTTATGCCTGTGAGACCTGGCCATTGACAGTGTAAGACATGAAAAACTGACTAGCTGTCTTTGATCATATGTGCCTGTCTGTGTTCTATCCTCCATGTGAAGTCGTATAGTATAATAGGGTGAGGAATGTTGAGGTAAGTTCTCCATCGAGTGAGTGCTAGGTAAAGAGGCGAAATCATCGACGAGACTGTCAAGTCACACCGATTCATATGGTTAGGACATGTGTTACGCATACCTGGCCTAGCCTAGCATAGCCATCGCATACCTTCCTCGACGGGCAATATTAGCCGACATGCAGTTAGGCTGGAAAAGAGCTGCTGCTGCTGCTGGTTGTCAAACCAAAACATGGCTTCATCAATCAATGAAATAAATCCACAACACTTGATTTAAGTCATTTAGGAAGATGTAGAATTCCTGACTCGCTGGTTGGGGTCCTCGCGACAGTAAACACCAATGACGGCTGGAGACAATTGGTCATATGGCTCAAAATCCTCGTTCTCAACGGCCAATATGCATTCACTTCTATTACTATTCTCTTGCCTTCTGACTCATATCTCTCTCTGTTCACTGTCTCTTTTTTCAACTTTAGTCTTCTTCTCTGGCTTTGTGTGCTACAACATGAAGGGAGTGTGGCGACTTGAACTGTTGCACATCGGTGCAGTTTCGCTTTCCACCACCAACTTCTACTAATGAGATGAATTTCAGTGAATGAATTAGAGTTCCACTCAATTGGTTGTCTGAGTCATCATTCCACTTCTAACATTCACTCCGTCCTATTGAAATTCCCATCAGAATATATCAGGTGTACACATTTTACTCTGTTCTGTTATTCGATCCGGCATGCATTCTATCATCTCTAGTCTAGTCTAGTCTATCCTTGTGTCTATGTCAGTCAGGCGGTAGTTTGCACTTCACTTCATTTCACTTCCTCAGCCCACTACTTCTTGTCTACTTTCACCTATGAATAATTATTAGCTATTCCACCACTTTCAATCGATAACTCACTCGACTCCACTGTCAGAAAACTACATTCATCACAATCTTCGTCTACGTACGTTGTATTCAGTTGACAGGAATCAATGGAATGGAATGAAATGAGCTCGTATGTATCATCATCGTGCAAATATGATCTTTCTTCCTTTGTTCGAACGAATCAAACGGACTCGTTGCATCATTACACTATCACACGACTCAATGAACACGTAATAATAATAATAATAATCCAGTGCTGTTTTACCACTCTCACAGTAAAATATCTATTCTCTCGTCAACACTTCTTCTCACTCCTTCATCAACCAGAGACATGCAAACTCTAAATCTTTTCTGCAAGCATTGTAATTCCCATCAACTGAAGCACTGATCACAAAGAAAAAAGAACATACACCAATAATACACACAATAAATCCCTTCACATGCTTCGAAACATACCTCTTCTGACTATTCTGTGAACTGAGAACGGCACCAGTACTGCCCCTGAAAAGTAAACACAAGATTAATATTATTAAGAGTTTTCCCCTTTTTCACCAGAAAATTAATTCTAAACACACAATACTACTAATTTCAAAAGTGGTTAGGAACAATAAAACAGCTACCTTTGGAAAAATGCTATTTTTCGTCTTCTTCATCAGGTTAGTTATATCATCACAGCACCTGACAGCGAATCGTATTTCTGTCTCCGTAAATATATCACAGGCAAATACAGGTAAGCAGTATTTATATGACGAAAAATAGCATCACACGTAGCATCATTATTACCAACTAACTCTGTGAACAAACTAGGAAGTGTCAAAACAGACGAACAACTTGTTTCAATTCATAAACACACACATAAAGCAATGCATTAATTAATTATAAATGTAATTTGGAAAACATTTCTTCTCAAACGTACTGCGATGAATGAAGTTGCTGAATCGGGTTCTTCGGTAGGCTGTCAATGCAATATTCTGAAAGAGGACAGTGAAAATAAAGAAAACAGTTTTCACTTATTGATATAAGTTGATTAATTATTATTATTCGCGTTTTATGCCTTTGCGTTCTGAGTCCAGCAGGCGGCTCTACGCCTACCTACCTACCTACCTGTCTGTTTGTCTGTCTGAAATTCCAGGTTTCAGTAACAGCCATGTTTCTTCTTTACGAGACACTAAATTAACTGTGTTGTACACTGAGGCTTTTCTTTCCCTTTATAACTGACTAGTCAAGGGATACTTCACTTTCCAATAAAACAAGATATTTAGTAAAACTCATCTTACCGAAATGACAATGTCCTACAATAATGACTCAAAACTACCTGAATATATTAATTAATGCACGTTCATGAATAAACACCCGTTGACGAACTGCTGTAAACTCATAACACCTGTATAGGCAGGTACACAACCTACTACTACTTCGGATTGTCAGTGCGTGTAACAACTAGGACCACGATTCATGAGTAACAACAACACTTACTTATCACCAGTGTGATCCCCTTCTTCTTCTAGACGAGGACACTGACAAAATGCAGTCTTCTAAACACCTTCAGCTGCAATCTACGAATGTTTCGCATGCGATTCGCTCCCGCCAAATGCAAGATGATGTTACAGGACTGGACTACACCGACTCCTAAATTAGAAATAGGGAGTGAAGTGGTAGAGCACTTTGACCGCTTCACTTATTTGGAAAGTACCATCAGCCAGTGCCAACAGGTTGATCTCTGACGAAATCTCAGCACGGATACAGGGGGCTTGTATCACATTTGCCAGTTTACGCCGCCTCTGGCGTAGACAAGATATCCGACTATCGACCAAAGGGCGAGTGTACTGCTCAGCGCAGCAGTCCGCTCCGTCCTCCTTTATGGCTGAGACCTGGCCACTGAGAGTAAGAGACATGAAAAGATTAGCTGTCTTTGATCATAGGTGCCTGCGTTCTATCTCCCGTGTATGTTAAGTGGCATAATAAGGTGACCGACATTGAGGTTAGGCCTCAGTCGAGTTCTAGGTAAACAGGGGAAATCAATCGACCAAGTCGTGAAGTTACAAAGACTGAGATGGTTGGGACATGTGTTACGTATGCCTAGTCATCGCCTTCCTCGACGGGCAATGTTAGCGGATATAGGGTCAGGCTGGAAAAGAGCTACCGGCGGTCAAACCGAAACATGGACAAACCAGTCAATGAAATCTACAACAGTTAGTTTAGGCCTGCCACGTGAGAAGTTGTAGACTTCCTGGTTGGGGTCCTCGGGACGGTGAAAATCAATGGTTGGAAACAATTGGTGACAAGGCTCAAAATCGTTCTCAATGGCCGGCGCAGATGCATCCACTTCTTGTGACTTATGATTTCCAATGAAACTGTTTTGTTCTTCGTTATTACTATTCTTTTGTCTCACAACTCTGCTTACTGTCTCTATCGTGCATTTTTTCTATCTTTTTCTCTTGCTTTGTGTGCTACATGGAGTGTGGTGACTTGAACTGGCGCACATATGTGCAAAGTTCTATGTCGAAAACAAACAAACAGACAGTGATCCCCTAAAAGCCAATACGCAAATTCTGGGCACAGATTAACCTGGACCTGTCTGTACGTAATACTTCTAAAACCATAATTTCATTTGGTTGAGGTAAATTCACAAATATTCTGATAGTGATACATTGGTAAAACAATAAATGCTAGTTTGAGCTCTATTCGGGTAGCGCTAACAACATATGTAACTCTCGCCTATCATAGTTTATCTACACATTGATGGGATTCTGACATGGCAGAGGCGCGCCACCCTAACGTCGCCACCAAAATGACAACAAGCACGTTGACCATTCTCAGCCACTTAGTCTCCCCACCTGGGGAGGACCCAGGTTTCATTCCTGGGTCGAGGAGGGGTTATCGAGAAGAATTCTCAGAAGAATCCCACCAAATGGCACGAAACAACCCTCCACTGGCTGCTTGCTTCTCAATCACATCTCTAAATCTAACTCCTCTTGACGAAAATATAACAACTGCGATCACGCTTGCAATTCATTGATACATTACACATTAGCCAATGTCTCAACGAACATAATCTAATCTCACTCCACTTTTTCTTGTCAATACATGCGCACATAACTACGAGATGCATATACTCTACGATTCACCTATCACAAAAACAAAAAACAAAACGCAATGAAATGTTTCCTTCACAGACAATAAAACTGTGCGTCAACAGTAACAACAAAAACGACAACAACTACGGGGGTAAAAAGAAAGAAAAACTCACTAATACTTCTGCCTAAGAATCGTAAAATAATCGACGATAACACAGAATGATTCCCGTTACTATCCACAAAAATCGCCCCGAGAATTGATTCAAATACATCGGCTAAAATTTTCACATTCGATCCCTCACCAACCTTCTTCATCAGTAGCTATGTAGTAAAGTGAAGTAAACTAAGTAAAGTAATAGAAAGCAGTATGATGAACATTGTGACAGACTTCAGTGACATTGTAAGAGTCAATATTTACACACACACACACACTATGCACAGACAGTTAAGTGAATTGTCACCAAGGTTAATGGGTTTACACTTCGTCAATATCTTCATTTGACCGGTACAAGATTAATATCGTGATTAAAAAAGGCCACATAAATTCTAATCGCTCTTTTACACTAATCACATACTCTTGATTTAGTATACCTAGCTTTATGAAAAATCATGCCAGTTCCGAAACTGACAAAAGTAAATCCCTTCTAGGTTTTTCACAAAAAGCCGTATCTTTCTCACAATACCTCTGTGCTCCACCAACTTTTGCTTCGTTGAAATGTGCAGCTCTAGCCTCTCGTTTTAGACGGATCAACGATCAACGTGGGTGGTGGTTAACAATAATGAAGGATAGATACTAAGAACCAATGACTACACCAAATGACTGTTGTCGATATCACTCTCAATGGCGTGGATGCCTTCCCTCTCTATGATCCACCACAACCACTAAATCGCCTTGCTTTCCCATGCGACTATTCTTTCTTTCTCACATTTCTGCTTGCTATCGTTGCTTTCAATCTCTGCGCGCTCGCTCTCCGTTTGTGTACAACATAGTGTGTACAACAACTTGAACTGTTGCAATTCTGTGCAAACCCCACCCCCCTATGTTGAAGCCAACTCAGTCAGTCAATGACAATAATCAACAGAATTAACCAACAACGGCTGTTGACCATCACAGATACAGATGGTTACCATATGTGTAAGCCACACAACACTCAGTCAACAACTTCCTCCACAGGAAAAGTTAACTGAAACAGAAACAGCATGAAAAAGCAAGGACGGTCGGACTAAAACATAACACACCGATACATGAACAACTTGCTTTACACATCTCACTAGAAACCTTTCCCCTTTACCGAGCTTACTCTACACCAGCTCGGTAGGGAAGCGAACCAGCACCGCCCGTGTGGCAGACAGAGAGCATTCTACCATTGCACCACCCATCAGAGGGCACACAGTAATACACACCCACTGACTCACCAGTCATACATTGATGGTTTTCAGATGAGCCGAACACACCTACCTTTAACTCTTGAAGTAAGTTGAAACCGCCAGCGCATGCAGTGTCATCCTGTGCCACGGTGCGACCACACATACAACAGCCGTCTCTCCTGTCCGACTAAATTGCTCACCAAAACCTACCATATTAAGGCTAGTCTAGACTGGTGGTGGTTCAGGTCAGAGAAACAACTGACCTTCACATGCTCTGTCCACGAATCAACGCCTGCTGATAAATATGTATATGGAGACTGTCATCAAATGAAAGCACGATTTCAATATGCTGCATTATATTTCCGAGCTATTTGCTGATAATCTTCTCCTGCACTTACACAGCACGATACAGATAAGTAGATAGCCTCGAATACACACATAGTCTTTACATTTTCGCTTTCAATACTTAACAATGCACAAGCGATTTACTCAAGCGATTGATTGTCTTTAGCAGTGACGATTATTAGCATTACCATGATAAATGAACATATAACGCACTTTAGCCTGGTGGTGGTATATATAACTGTTTGATTAGCTAGCCTACAACTCCACATACATATATAGTCAAGACTGTTGTGAACTTTTCTTATAATACGTATCTAGTCATATTCATATCTCTACCGCTATTAACACTCTTTTTTCCTTTATATGTTTAAGCCATTCCGACTTCATTGTAAAATGAATATAGCCTAAATTCTTGGTTCATTCGTCTTTTCAAGATTCAAGCATCACTCATCGTTCTAAGACTCAATCACCTTCGTAACAAAGACAATTAGCAATAATGAACAACCCAGATATAAATCTCTCAATTTACCTCGATACGTTCACAAATCGAATCGGTTTGCTGATGAATACTTTCTATGTCATCAATGAAAGGCTTTATATCACAAACGCCCGAGTCAATAAATGCATATAGTTCATTCTCGACTACAGTGTTGACCAAATTGTTATTACTCACGATTATGGATCGCATTTTGCTCAGTTCACCTTCAAATTAAAGTGGGGAAAACAGGAAAAGCAGAGAAAATACTTCATCTTCACTTTTAAACGTCGACACATGCACGAAATACAATGTGAGATATTTTATCACTTGGAGGCATCATTGACATCCAGCCAACAATGAAATACAGATAAGTTTGTAATAAGGCGTTATTGCAGGAAAAAGTGGAAAACTGTCTCCGACTTTCTCTCTCTGTCTTTAAGAAGCTTGAAAATCCCCATTGAGTTATATGAAGAAGAAGAGAAGACGTTCAGCGAAGAGAAACTCTTTTCGACGGCGAATTCATTCACATAGCTAGCTGTACAATCGCATTTATATATAATTATTTGTGTGTGTACATGAGGTTTGTCAAATTTAGATTATTGATCAGGTAATAAAAGAATGATCTAATATAGAAACAAGGTTAATTAGACAGCAACTTAAGTAAGATTGAGTTAGTTAGTAAGTTAGATGACGACGTAATGTAATTGACTAAAATGCTTCAACTTAGGTCAGGGTAGCAACAGAGGTAATTACAGGTAGAGATGGAGACAAAGTAGAAGTGGGGTAGGGAATAATGCCATTCAAATTAGGACTGAAATTGAGCAAATAAATTGGATGACGTAACATAAATGAATGACTAGAAATTGAGCATTGGTCAAGTCAGTAACAGTGGTAGTGAGGTGTAGAAATTAAATCGGGTGGGGAGGAGTAGAGAACAAGAAATTTGAAAATGCAAGATATTACAATTGAGAAGACAAAATAATACTAATGAAGAAAGAGAAAAGAAAAAAAATTAGGTAGAATTTACTTGTCGGGTAATAAGATAGGTTACGTCCATTGCATGTGTAGTGATTGAACGAACTTCTTCTGTATGCAGAGTTCAGGGCCTAGCAAGTGAATCACCATTGCTTCTGCAGTTTGAAGAAGTCTGATTCGTACGCCTTTAAGAAGACTACTTCTTACTCTGTTGACGACTTTAAAGTTTGTTTGGGTGATACCCTGAGCTAAGCTGAAACATTTTAGTCAATTATATTACGTCGTCATCTAACTTACTAACTAACTCAATCTCACTGGCTAATTGCTGTCTAATTAACCTTGCTTCTATATTAGATTATTCTTGTATTACCTGATCAAATATCTAGACTTGACAAACCTCATGTACACACACACACACACACACAAATAATTGTTTGTGAATGCGATTGTACAACTAGCTATGTGAATGAATTCGCCGTCGAAAAGAGTCTCTTCGCTCAACGTCTTCTGTTTTTGAGAAGTCTAGTGATTCCACTTTTTATGTATAAAAATAATAAATCCACGCTTAGGCAACACGCAGGAAACAAGTAGCTGCAAAGTCACCACACGCTCAGCTTAACAGTTCACAACACCAGGTCTGTAGTATTTCAAGGGAAGTGATTTCAGACAGACACCAGGAAGCCTTCGACCTAGGCTTCGTCCTCCTTCGCACTTACTTGTCAGTCAGCAAGGCGTATCGCAAATCTTCAAGGAATTCATGTCCATTCTGAGATTCCAACCCAGGTTACCCACTGAATGGTACAATCAGAGACATTAACAATCTGCTAGTCAGCCCCACGAATCACCTCCACTAGGACTGTAATGGATACTTTGATTGGACACTAGGCAGGTAGTAACTAGCGCCATGCATCCCATCCTTTCGTTTGGTGCAGACTGAATTCTCCTCCTACAAAGAGACTGGCTGTATACTAGTTCTCCGTCAACATGGCCGCCAACGTGGTGACTGATAACTCACCAACTCAGCAACGAGAAACTCAAAGATAACTAACTGTCTTACTTGGTGGGATTATGCTGTGTGCCAAAAACACTCTAAAATAATCATACTACCTATTGATCTGCTTCTTTTCTGATGTACTTCTGAAATGGAGTTCATTGGCTCAAACACTCAGTTCTGCATTCAAATCTCACTCCACCTACTTCAGCCTTCCCGAAATAAGTGTGCATCACAGCATCATAGCAAGTGGAAACCCTGTTTCGGATAACTGCGCTCAGACAACAACAACAACATACAACGTTCTTCACTCACTTGTCTGTGACCAACTATCCCTGTGATTATCATTCACATTCATTCTGTTTCCTAGGTGATCTTCATACCCGTCGACATCTACTTCGACATAAATCTGTTCATCACTATAAATATTTCAACCGAGAACCGCTATCCATTGACTTCTCGGATTTTGCAATAACTTAGATAGTTAACTAACTTAGCAGACTTTCATTTCGATGGCATTTTATGGGGATCCTTGTGACTATATATGACTTGTTGTACGTGCCATTAGCAGTACACATGCATATTCCTCGGTAGATTAATCACTGCACACATACATACATACATCATGGAACAACAAAGAAATGACACGTCATCCACTGACCATTTATCCTTTCATGAAATAACAATTCTCATGTCTGTAAAACACTTCAATCGGGTGGTGGTCAACATTAGTGTGAGTTAGTTGATAACATACCCCAGAACAATGACGCTGATTGTAGCGTTCTCGTGTTCACGTTATCACACGTAAGTGATATGATGGCCTATTATTTACATACTTGACATCATATTATCCATCGGTGAAAAATTCTATGAGGTATTCATTTGAACAACTTCACGGTTCTCACTACTCTGTGACAACAGTGTGAATGTCTGTCACACAAACTGTAGAGGCGGCGGAATATTTTCAGGCTATCCCCTCCCTTTCATCAACTCCAACATCAACATTTTGAAATAAAAAAATGTCGCAAATTCATAACACAACAATCGTTTCACTTCAACTTCAACTTACCTGGAGAAGCATGAGGACACTTTTTGAACAGGCGATTGCTCACAATGAAACCCAGAACCGAATCACCGAGAAATTCCAATCTGGTTACAACACAACCATGATGAATACGAGGCAGATGACACACAAGTGTTCCATGAAAAAACAAAACAACAATATATGAAACAATGGAAAGAAGAGATGAAAAGTCAACAGTGGAAAAACTTCACCAACACGGGCACACACGACACATCAAATCTGCATTCATCTCATTCACTTAAGCACAACAGATTAGCTACAGTCTACGTACAAAGAAATTCGCTCAAAGACACTTGTCAGGCGTCAGGCCCTGGATTTTATCAACAACTTGTCCAATTGCTCCGCAAGATAGTAGTCATCTCTCTCCGTGTAATCGCCCCATCATTCTACCTACCCACACCCCCAACAAAAATAAACAATGTCACCGAGACAATTCACACAAACGCATAATCACAACCTTATAAGTGACTGACATTCTCCGCTGCTCTCAAAATATTACACAAACCCACAACAATCATTCTCCATAAAGTAAAACTCACAAACATCACATCAACACTATACAGCCTATTATAATTAAATGTGTAACCACAAAGTAACCACACATACAGACTGTTTAGACACTAAAAACAAGTGTGTCACATGTCTACACACACACACACACCTTGTTTAAGTGTGAGATTAGATGTCTTCTTATCAATGCTCCTCCAGCTCATTTACTACACATTTCAACGGGTTGAAGTAGGTGGAATGGGATTGGAACTTGTCACACATCCATCGTCTGAGAATCAAGTGCTTACACGTATCTACAAAACTGCTGTACCGGTTTATGCTGGGTGTCGTAAGGACAATTCATCTTCAGAGTGGTTAAATTCCAAGAAAGTCAAACATCCACGAAACATACGCAACATTAATTCGCCAAGCCCCATGTCATTTGTAATTACCTGTCTGAAACACAGCTGGTGTGATCACGTGTCAACACTACAACTTGCAATAACTTCACACTACAATTGATAACCACATTCGTGTTGATTCTCTCACTTACTTCATGGTAGCCGAGGCGTACTTGTTGGAACCAGATCAAATTCAAACAGATACTATTTCATTTGACATGAACTGCTTCTGATGTGAGATGGTCTTTGTGATTTCTAAAATTCTTCTGCGTGACTTCGATACTCTGAAATTCAATTTTGTCGCCTAATCCTATAACCAGCTTTCGAAGGCGTAGAACACGACACTGCGCACTCATGCACTGTATACCCGACCTCCTTGATGGTCAAATTCGAAGAAAGTCAAACATCTACACAACATACAGTAAATTCGCCAAGCCCCATGTCATTTGACATACACCACCCTAGAGTTCATGATACAGTGGGAAATCACGTCCGTCACACCTCCGCCAGCACCCACACAACTACTCAGATACACGAACTTATCAATAACTTCAAGCGGTCCACCTACAAGAGTCAGTGCAGGTGCACACTACTACCAATCTGGTAACAGCACCTTGCACTCACATGGCGAAAAGCACATACTATACTTACAGACACTGATCTCCAACCGATTAAGCGCCATTCCGGTAGTCTACATGCTATCGCACAATAAGACGATATCACCTGCATTCTCGAGGTCGAAAAGTCTTCCTCTGGGAAGCAAATCTACACCGCCAACACGCACGTCTTTCACAGATGACTCCAGAATGTCATCTATCGCAAAGTTTAAGATAAATAGAGAGATCGGACATACAATAATTCATCACAGTCACTCTGCATGTGAATAATGTCGTTAAAAAACGTGGAACACCTTGTCATACTGGTGGACATTCGGGTCAACTCACAGGAGCTGGAAAACACTGATTCCAATGCATGCATTGGTTACCTTGTGGATCTGACTTCAAGACAAAGGCTCAGAGAGACAGGTGGCCGCTTTCATTCAATCACTCGCGTCAATCTGTCTGTACGTCCGACCAGTATCTCACAACCCACACACAAACTATCCGATTTTGTGTAGAGCATCTCTTCGTACCCATATATGTGTCGGATTTATGTTTTAATCAATAAATAAATAAAAAAAATCAATAAAAGTGTGCACTACTACTCACTCAATCTAAGACGCCAAATGTTTTGCATTAAAAGAAACACATATTTTAGAAGAGAAAGAGGAGAATCAACTACACTACAGCTTACCTTTGATAATTTCCCCAGTACTCTCTGTTAGTTGATGACTGGTGTGTCATAGCTGTAGCAAGTAATTCAATATTTCTAAAGCGATAACCCAATTTCAATTGTAAATCAAAATATTTCTCATTGAGATCTTGATATATGCAAGTGGTCAGTGAATTCTGTGATGATACACGGAGAATTTGGCGTCTGGAATTTGAACTGCCAGCAATATCTGAGTTTTCTGAGTGAAGAAGGTAATGCCATGGAGCATCAATCTTATATTCTGTGTCACATTTTATTGTATTCCAATCCACCGGACATATCTGGAGATAGTATAACAGATTTACAGCCGATGGTAGCCCGATGTGCACTACAAAGCATCCTATCAAGGCTTCAACCATATCCGCTAAGGATTTGTTATATAGGCGGATATATAAACGATCATCGTATTTAGAAACCTGTAGAAAAGCCAACACAATAAATTGACACAACTTTCATACTCACTCCTAGTAAGAAGTGAAAAGAGAGCTATGAAAGCTATCGGAGACAAATACACTACTCGAAAAAAAGTATTTTACTGACCAGATTATCACCATGAAAATCAACAGTGAATAATCCTCATTTAAACAGACTTCAAGCTGGACGACTGCAATACTATCTCACTGATGAATCTTCAAAATTCACCTTGAGGGTGTCAGGAGATGCCACAGCCAGTTCACGAGGATTAGCTGGCGTAGGGATACCTTTGAGTACTAGGGCAGAAAAGACATTACTTGACTGGATTCCAGTAGATAGCCGAATGTGTGCTGTCCGTCTGAACGGATCAGTAAGAAGGAGAAAGGACTGCACTACTCGCCGATGCCTTTTCGTAATCTCCGCCTACGCTCCCACTGACTGCAGTTCGGATGAAACGAAGGATGAGTTCTACCAAAAGCTGTCTAGTTTGGTGAGAAAGGCTAAACGCTCAGATATAGTCGTTCTAGCTGGTGACTTTAATGCTCAAGTAGGGAAATTGTGTCAATCTGAGAAGGATGTCGGTGGCACCTATGGAGTCCCGTGCCAGCGAACCGACAACGGTGACCGTCTCCTACAGTTCTGTTCAGATAATCATTTGTTTCTTCTAAGCACTAACTTTAAACACAAGGAGAGACACTGTTTAACCTGGCGACCCCCATCATCAAACCAACGCTGGACACAAATAGACCACATAGCAATAAGCTATCGTTGGCGTGGGTCGGTAGGAGATTGTCGCTCCTTCTGGAACACGTGTGTAGATACCGATCACGCACTGGTCCGGGCTCGTGTGTGCTTACGACTGAACGGACGTAGGAAACAGCTGGCGGTAAAACCATTACGTCCCCAGCTCGATCAGGAAACTAAATCCGTATTTGAGGAAGAACTAGCTAAACGCATATCTGAGTTCGACAGCTGTGCTCACCCTGGAGAAGCCTGGAAGAATATTCAGTCAGCTATAGATACAGCTGTAAAAGCTGTGAATAAGGCAAATCCAAAGGTGAGTAAAAACCACTGGATTTCGACTGCCTCATCCGAACTGATAGATGCTAGAAGACTTATTCCGGCGAGCTCCGAATTCAATGAGGAGCGAAAGCTGCACAAGAGGAAACTTACTAAAAGTCTCCGCAAGGACCGTGAACAGTGGTGGGTGACAAAGGCGAAAGAGATGGAAAAAGCATCGGCGATAGGCAACACTAGGCAACTCTTTAGACTCATCAGGGAAACGGGTGGGAGAAGGCAAATCATAAGTGAGACTATTTCTGAGAAAAATGGCTCCTTAATTAGCTCTCAGGATAGACGCCTTGAACGCTGGAAAGAACACTTTGAGGGACAATTTAACTTGCCTACAGCCACACTGAACCTCCCGCCATCCAGCACACACCCGAATGGGATATAGACACTGGTCCGCCGTCTGTAAGTGAGGTCACAAAAGCTATCAGTAATTTGAAACGAGGCAAAGCGGCAGGACCCGACGGAATTATTCCGGAGGTGTTTAAATATGGGGGTGACATACTAGTTTGTAGATTAACTGAGGTACTAGGCAAAGTCTGGGAATCAGAGACAGTGCCATCAGACTGGGGTAAGTCACTTATTATACCGATATTCAAGAAGGGAAACAAGTCCTCGTGTGATAATCATAGGGGGATCAGCCTAACGAACATAGTCTCTAAAATCCTAGGCTCAGTAATCATGCATAGACTAAGCAGAACTCGGGAGGAACAGACAAGGGAAAATCAAGCAGGCTTTAGACCAGGTAGAGGGTGCATAGATCATATCTTCACTCTTCGACAGATTCTAGAACATAGACACACTTTTCGGCGTCCAACAATTGTCATATTTCTTGACTTGAAGGCGGCCTTCGACTCCGTGGATCGAAAGGTACTATGGCAATGTCTGACTGTGAAGGGAGTGCCAAGAAAATACATTGCACTCTATTCAAACTACTCACGTAGTCGTGTAAGGGCTTATGGGGAATTGTCATCTGAATTGATAACAACCAGTGGTGTCCGACAAGGATGTCCACTTTCCCCATTTCTGTTTAACTTCATCATAGATATGCTGATGGAAGTATCCTTAACTGAACGTAATGACTTAGGAATCGACTTGTTACCAGGGAATAATCTTGTGGACTTAGAATATGCAGATGACATAGTCCTGTTAGGGGAGGATGCTGACAAAATGCAGAGTCTTCTGAACACCTTCTTTTACTGGGTGTTTTTTTTTCGCCCCTGCAAAATGTAAGATGCTGCTACAGGACTGGACCACATCAACTCCTAACTTAGTGATAGGGAGTGAAGTGATAGAACATGTTGACCACTTCTCTATGGCTCTGAAACATGGTCAATACGAGTTGAAGACATGAAAAGGTTGACTGCTTTCGATCATAGATGTCTGCGATCTGTCTCACATTAGGTGGTTTCACAAGGTAAGTAATGTTGACGTTAGGCGTAGAGTGTTGGGCAAAGAGGGAAAATCAATCGACGAGGCTATAAAGTTACATAGACTAAGATGGCTAGGTCACGTGGTGCGCATGCCTAACCATCGCCTCCCCCGACGACGGCCATTACTAGCTGATATAGGTGCGTGAAGGTTGGAAAAGAGTAAGTGGTGGCCAAACAAAAACATGGCCTGATCAATCCATGAAATCCTTGACAGTTAAACTGAGTCGGTCAGGTAGGGAGATGCAGACTTCCGGGTTGGGGCCCTCGCCTCGGGACTCTAGGAATCAATGGCTGGAGACAATAGGTGACACATGGCTCAAAATCGTTGTCAATGGCTGGCGCAGATGTATTCAATCTCTGTAATCTTTCATATTCCTTTCTACCATTACCCATTCTGTTTCACTCTTATACTTGTCAAACGTTATTAATTCTCTCCACTCATTTTCTTGTCTACCTTTGTGTGCTATTTGGAACGTGGCAACTGGAACTGTTGCAGTTCGGTGTGAAGTTCTATGTTGAATTCAGACAGACACAAAGACTATCTCACTGATTCCGATACACCGAGTGTAATCCACAGGCTGTTTAACTCCGATAGGTGGACACACACACATGGACGAAATCCAAACATTCTAGAGGTGAACAACAAAAGAGCAATGCGAATAATTCCAGAAAAATACAAGAAGAAAACACACGAAAGAACAAGTGTATAGCATCCATTTGTCAGTCGACTGATAATGATGATGAATTTCCGAAGTGACAACAGGTTAATTCCTATGTGACAGCTCGTAGTTTCACATCTTTATGCGCATCATCGTATACATGCGCACAGTGATTGCTAGAATCACCAGAGATATGTTCACTTCTTCACATACATCTCTCGTCAGGTCAACACTGGAAAACTGTATCCAGGCCGCAAGCAGTCCTGGTCTTCACGAGGACTCACACACACATTCAAGAAGCCGTTCAAAGGAGGCCGATACGTATGATTATTAGCAGTATGACCAACTTATCATATGACAAAAGACTACACACTTTGAATCTTTTCTCTCTCTCACCCGTGTCACACTACTGGCAGAGAGCTCATGATAGTCTTCAGAATTTCCAATAATCACTACGCACCCGGTCTGTCCTCTCTTCTCTCTTCTACCAGACCACGTCAGAACACCTCACAGGAAATACCAATTGAGTTTAAAGTCGTGTCAGCACCCTCAATTCATTTATTCAAGAAACCACAGAAATTCACTACAAAACGATTAACATGGGCTTCAATTCAAGCCTTCTATCCTATCCTCAGTCAATAAATCGGAATCGGAACTAATCACTTGCACGCTTTCTGTGCAGCTATCCAGAAACACACAGCACGAAATTAGCAATCTCTACCATATGAGTTTTCAACTTGAATAACTATACATATACATACATACACACACACATGCATACATACATACATACATACATACATACACGAGTTGAAATGCTCTGAGAAAACGTGAAAATACGAACAAAGATTACCACAACAGCCACTAACCTCAGAAGAAACAGTGTAGCACGGAGGTACAAAATGTTCTGATGGAGAGAATACTCGACCAGTGCAATATCCATACCATGACAAATCTCGAGCAATCTCACACAGGTGAACATTTGATATAAGTGAAGCTCTTTTGCAATTTAAGTGACCTTCACCTGCATCCTGTGGACTGGTGTGGTAAACACTGAGCGTAGACATCAAATGCAGAAACGAATCACCATAAAATTCCAAACGCTCGAGATTCACTGCATCACGAGCACCTAACAACGTAGTTGGCTCGATCAAGTCACTGGGTTGAGGACAAACTGTTCCAACGCCTCTGCATTCACTTGCAGCTATACTATCCATCTCCTGGTCCTCTTTCGAAGTTTGTTCATCTACTTCAAAATCAAACATAGATGCCTTAATCGGTTCCCCGTTTGAGGAATCAGTATCACGTAGACGGTCGGGCACAAAAACGGTCACAGCAGAAAGAGAATCATCTGTCATATTGGATGGATTCGTCATTTGACAGAATGGTTTGGGATTCTTTAACTCGGAGGCCAATTCTGTGGATAATTGTGATGCCAACAATGCCCTTGTCATCTGATGAAAAACTGCAGGTATCGTGGACACCAGAAACCAAAGCCAGGAAGATAATGGGTGTACTAAACACCCTTCACATACAAATGCTGACTGTTTGGGGAGTGGTCCACGCTTTCGTAGACCCGCACCAACTTGGGTGCAACTTTGATGACGTGTGAGCCGTGACGTCCTGCACAATGGCATTGAATTATCAACGGGTAGACCTCTCATCACGGGATACTTCCTTCTGTAAAAATCTAAATAGGTCACTTCTCCAACATTTTGTGTGTTACTGAGTTTCGAAGCCAAATACTGCGGCACATAACTTACAGGGGTTTCTGGACACACCTCTGAAATCGCAAACATACCAGGATCCTTATCTTCAACGTGAATAGGTCTGACAACTAAACCAAGCCAGTCTTCTCGAGGTATTTCACTCAGCCTGACAGGCCAACTAGGCAAAATACCACGGACAGGTCTGATCTTCACTGATCCACTCGTGTTGTTGTTTTCAATGTCCGAGGAGAGCGAATTCGTACGACAAATTGACCAATTTACAAGACTCTTAATGCCTTCGTAATCTATAGTACCTGCTAAAGGAATGAAAATGTATAAAACAAAAATCAAGCATCAGCATAATAGGACAGACACCCTGGAATTACTTATACAATCATTATTCAAAATTCGTATTACAAATGATCTGGATTTAACTCAGGTCTCTCTCTCTCTCTCTCTAGTAATTCCATAAAACCCCCACCTCACATAGAATCTACTAATTCTAATCTAATCTACATAAAAACACCTTGTACATGTAACCAACTTCCACTGCAAACAACACCTGACATGCATACATATATACAGGGATCTCAAAGCTCGTTGCAGGTAATCCACACAAAACTGTTGATCTAGCTTCTCTTCTTATTGCCACTCGTTACCAAAGTGTGTCTTCAACTAGGCACTGATTCTATTCACAGACGACTCCAAGTCGTATCACACTACTGCAGTCACACAGATGACACCACTGAGCCAATTCGCTCGATAATTCACTTTATAACTAGCCATAATGCACCTATCGACTGGTCATTAGGGTATCACAAGTGCTATCAGTGGTTACTCTCCACACATCAATTGATGAACATAAAAGGCGATGAAAAAGCCTACGCCCACACAAACCATCATCAGAAACATTCATCTCGCATATTGTGAGATCTATTTTCATGGAGGATTTCATCATGAGTTGATATCAGTTAGAGAACCACTGGAGAAAACCAACTGGGAGTACTGGACAGCTGTTTCGTCCGAGCTTCGGACTCTTCAGCAGTACGCACCCAACGGCCCTACTCCGTTCAGGCAGTTAACCTGGGGTTCTACTGGGAAGTAGTGACCAGTAGGGTACAGCAGGTTGAAGATGAGACATTGACTCATCGGAGAAGACATTGCGAAATGGTCGCGCTATGTTGTGAATTCACAGAAGTTAGAATTCAAGGACTGGCCATTGGATCGGGTCCCAGTGACTCAATGGTATACGCGCACACCTTGTAACCAGAAGGTCCTGGGTCCGAGCCCTGCTGGTGGGTGCGTACTGCTGAAGAGTCACAAACTAGGCTGACGAAACAGCTGCCCAGTACTCCACTGCTGGTTTTCCAATGCTTCTCTAACCAATGTCAGCTCATGATGAAATCCTCCATGCAATCAAACAAAACCCATACAAAAACCAATACTTGAACCAATACTATTTTCAACATACACTATTTATTAGTAGGTGTTTGTCGACAGATGTGATGATTGAATAGCTCATAAAACTACAAAAAACAGGAGAGAAAATTAGTATGACTACCACTACTACTACGACGACGACGACGTCGACTAATGATGGCGATGATGATATCCGTCAAATATAAAACTTGCATGACACATTTCAATGAATTTCACCAGAATGGTAAGCATACTTTGATCATTTCAAGGGTGTATCAGTGACGATGTCGACCTCTGTCGTGGACTACTACTACCACTACTAATAATAAGGTCCAGTCATCAACAAAACATAATCGTTGGAGTTAATAATCTTATTGGAAGATAATCACTCAAACTAGTTAAATAAAAAATATGCACAGGTTCAATGAAGACCACAGAATTCAAACACGCATGCAATATTTCTACGCCATTTACATAAATATGATATGTCCAGCTCATATTGCACATTTCATCTACACTGTCAATATCATTTTATAAAAGTCCGACTGACAGCTAGCTAGCTACCAACCACCTCAATGCTATGATGAGGCTTGCATACTCTACTCTCATCGCTGAGTGACAGTAACTACGACGAATCAATGCTTCTCAAAATACTGTCAGTCTACATAGGTCGGTTGGATAGCGAGTGATAAATAAATGGCTAAAATCAACTGTCATTATAGACTTGACTACTTCTTCGACTGCTGGAGGAAAGAGTCTAACAAAGGTGAGCGGATCTATTGGACAAGCAACACTCAATTTATGCTAGACATTTAATCCTCCATTTCATCTATGGTAACCTGAACAGTTGACGTGAAGTCTTTCACAAGGACAGAACACGAATCGTGATATTTTAATGCACACCACACTACATTCAAACAATCCCATCAGAAATCTTCATGATGCTACAAACACGTAAACTCAACAGGTTTTTCACTTTACATACAATCGAAAAACAACAACTTCCAGTATACGGACAGTCAGAAGAAATGAATTGTCTGAATATCTCTGTCAACATCACAACCAACTAACTATGAACAACGCGTGTGGCGACTTCAACTGCCGCACATCACTGCAAAGTTCTATGTCGAAAACAGACAGACAGAGAGAACAACAACCATCTGCTTTCATACCTTTAAATTCTAGGCATCGATACACACCGAACGTATAAACCCTATGCTTCTACTCCAGTTGACTGGACAACAGCAAGTGTAGTTTTCTCAAGATACACTTCGAACTACATATCAAATCAAACTTCTCAGTATAGAATCAATCAACAAACCCTCACATCACTAGAAAATCGAAAACACTATTAGGCATTTTTCCTGACTGTAGAAGTTCATCAGTAGGTAAGTCGAAAAGATTGCTTTTCTCAGCTTGAAGCCTGAAGATCTCATCTCTCACACAGAAGTAACAATAAGCGCCATAGATTAGACAAACGATACACAAGTTCAAGCACACAATCTGTCAACACACTAAAACATCAAAAACGACAATCAAAACGTATCAAAACCAAAAATGCCAGCTCGAAAAAGCTAAAATAACGACAGAAGCATACTAATTGCCAAACCATATAACATTAATTCAACAGAGGTTATGGACAAATCAGATTACATTAAGAAAGTCAATCAATAAATTCAAATGCATCCGTATGAGGAGATTACGAAACCCACAGACACGCTTATGAATAATAAGCATCAATACTCCAACAGCTGGTCTAATGCACCGAATGAAGTCACCTCTGAGTGAGTCGACATGATTCAACTAACTGACTAAGACTAGTATTCCTAGTAGAATGCATGACATTACTGTCAAAATTCATGGGACAGGATAATCTGTTAGGCCAATAGTCGACTTCAGGAACACTCCAACATATGAACTATCCAAATATTTGGCATCTGTATTATACCCGATTAGATATCGGTCAGACTGCAGGCTGATTAACTTATTTGAAATGAAGTTGAAGCCAGAGGGAATTCAAGTAGCAAAAGATCCACCTAGAGCTACAATTGTCCCTTCCGAAATGACTAGACGTGGGTTCAATCGAATATCTATGTAGTTCAGTTGGGAGCCTAACTAGTACGTCAGATGATTTAAGTGATGAAATAGAAAAATCGAGAAAACAACACCAGTGAACAACTACCCACCAGGTTCTATTCAAGTGCCTGACGTAGATAATGAAAATATAAGTGACAACGAATTCAAAACATCGACAGCACTATCAGAAGACCTACATCGGAGTCTTAATAACACTGAAACTAGATAAGATTTTTGTTTTGATAAATCGCACAGTGTTTACAGTTATATGAACTGATAAACACTGTGCGATTTATCAAAATAAAAATCTTATCTATAATGGAATTATACTCTACCACAGTGCCCAAGTTTTATACTTATAACACTGAAACTAGACGGACATTTAAACCAACCCATTTACTCACAGACAAACTTCGTCACCTTCAAGACTCAACAGACACAATTAAGCGAAATACGACTAACCAGTAGATAAGGCCTTGTTATGTTATCAAAACACAGAAATCCCGCTACATCTAGAATCCTTGGCCACACACAGTTAAATAGTCTTGAGAAAAGCGTCGCCATTGCTATGCATCCACTTGCATGCTATCACACAGTAGGGAGGGACAGGGTAAACGTACTACAAATAAGATCGTTAATCATATCATAGAATAAATTTCTTTCATGACAGCACACAGTGATGCAGTATTATCTTCTGATGACGTTGCGACCACAATTTATTGCTCACAATCATTACGATGCTCATATAACTATCAAACTATCACAAAAAGATGGTTGGAGACAGTCAGTATGTATATATGTATCATACATATTATAGCCAGTGGTGAGGAAGATCTAATTGAAAAGTAAATATTTCTTCGCTCAATCCTTTGTCTTCCAAATTTCCAAATGGGGATTTTCTTTCTATATAGAAAAACAAGCTTCATTGTCTTGGTTGGATACAGTAAAAATGATGTCAAGCCTCAATACTGGATGGAGGATGACAATACAAACACGCCTTACAATCCGCTCTTTCAAAGTGATTCCAACAAATAGCTATTCCGTCGTGCATCCAATGGTGCCAGTTAAAATCACCATTATTTGGACAATGTTGATTGATGCAAACTCACGCAGACCAGACTGCATGATAGTCAACAAGTTCGTCTGTCAAACGCTGACTGAATTCATTTCTTTTAAAAAGCTCATTTAATGAAGAGAGAGACAGACAGAGAGAGAGAGAGAGAGAAAACGAGGACTCCAAAGCTTACCTGGTAACTGAATTAACGTCATCAATGCCAAAATGTTAGCTTTCTTAGGACTGAACACCATATCAGTAAATCGGTCGATAAGTGTAACTCCACAACTTTCAGGAATTTCATTTGGATCTTTCTGTTTCTCCATAAGATCGCAAAGAGCCTGACTCGATGGTTTCTGACCAACATGTGACAAATGGCCCATATTTGTAACCAGTTCACATATCACTGAGTGGGCTGATTCTATGCTCTCCAATTCCCATTCACTAAGTGTAAGCTTTCCAACCAATCGGACACGCGAACGAGCCATACCACGTGTCAAATACAGGGGAATTCGACAAACATATTCTTTCTGTTTACAAAAAGGAAAGAACACCAAAGAAAGTTCAGCTTCCTCACTTAGTAATTCCGGCTATAATTTCAGACTGTGTCAAATCATATGAAGTCAACAATGTGCAGGAGGTTACAAATGTGTCCTAACACTCCACACTCAAGTAAAACCAACTTCCCTTCGTCGTACACCTGTCAACTGACTTCCCTTGTGCACAATTTTCTCCAAGTACTATGTTACGAGCCATAATCAATAACTGATATCTAACGTGTCAACCCCGTGGAAGCAGATGGAAGTGCTCCAAACCCTCAGAATGTTGATTAATATCCGTGTGCGAAAACCAATGAGACACAATCCCAGAATGCATAATAAGTCTATTAACCGCGAATTATTGAAACTCAAGATTGGGAAAGTAGGAAAATGATCTGAAGACAATTTTGAGACATTACCTCTCCCAGCTTCCTGCACACATTTGTCAGATAACAATGGCTTAACAAAACACGTTTCGAAGAAGTGTTTACCCACATATCCCAATAGATAAGTGTATGCATTTGACACCAAAATCCAACGGCACATGGTGCAGACGCAACAAAAGAAGACAGGTGAGCACAAGTATATCAGCCGTGGAAACCCGAGCCTGGCGGAATTGTCCACCACAATGCCAGTGTCTTTTCAGACAAGATGAAGACTCAAATTCAGTTGGAGTGGTCACCCTAACATATTGACTAGGGTCATTTAGGCTTATTCATCAGGTTAAGTTTAAAAGTGACTGCGCACTCACCACAGTCCCATCCATTAGTCAATTACCACTCTCATGTTGTCGTCCACGAGAATACATGATTTAGTGGACTCAGCCAGTCAGCTAGTTGTCAGTGAAATTAGATAACTATCACAGTGAAGTTTCTCTATCACTTTTCAACAGAAGTACTAATCAAGGTGTAACAAAGTCGTCTCATTCTTCTTTGTAATTCACTGACTTCTTAGATCAAGAAGGTTATAACTTTCACTACTCTAATTAAATCCAGTCATAATGATATCAATCCACACATTCAACGCTGTATCCCGTAGTGAAGCTTCGGTTGCACAAGGATAACAGAGGTTACCACTTAAACACTTATGTGAAATAGCACCTCACAAGGAAACGAGACAAAACAAAATATTCACTCAGAGATAACTGTTCATAAAATATGCTTAGAATCACCTTGGAAATCGGTTTCGAAAACAAAAGCCCAATAGCCCCGTCTGTCTTTTCAAAACAAGTCTCCTTCACCCAGCAAAGCTTGGCAACGACATCAGGTGCAGGAACAGTCCACGTATACAAATACACTGTTGTTCCGTGAGACGGTAAGGCTTGATATGGAAACGACAAGCATCTGGCACGCTACAAATCAGAGTGGTCAAAAGCATTTAATTCACCTGGATAAAACTGAAACCAAATATTTACAATTCAAGACCGACTTTCTCCAATGCGTATATATATTAAGTACTTCAGGAGGTGAGTATTCGGCCCTCCGTAACCTAAACACCACAACCATCAAATCCCTTCTTGAGAAATGTGACATGCTGGTTGGAGAGACGAAATCACTGAACACAAAGTCCCAATCATCTTGGCTGGCAAAACAATGGTCAGTAGCCTTCCACATGAATTCCCATTGAAAATATAGTCATGTTCAGGCACCACTCTCCCGACTCATGACCAAATCTACGTTTTCATATACCACATCAATAGGGTCGTAAATCCAGCCTCTTATTCTACCAACTGAACGCCTTGATTTCTAGTATTCAACACTGAATTTTATGAATCCCACACTGATAATCGTGCAATTTGATCCGAAACAACAGTTACTGAGTATCCATAAGACTACTTAATAGTAGATAAATTTACGAACTAGTCCTTCTGTCTCAGACAAACATGCTTACATTTTCAGAGGAATACATTAAACGTTGAGTTCCCACTTGCACGTAATTATACTTCTCCATACAGACGACTCAACTGGGAGTCAAGTCACCTGACTGAGTTGAATCACTAGATCATTTTACACACATCAACTCGCAAAAAGTCAATCTCACCAACACGCTCACAATAGAACAAACAGAAAACAAATAAACTACTGATTACCGGGACAGGATAGAATTCAAATCTGATATTCGCTGCCTGATATTGTGAATTCTCTTGATTGTCACTACTTGAACTACTGGAGAAGGAGACAGTAGGCGTTTCGGTCCCAAGTGTTGAAGGAAGCAGCTCATCTTCAATCTTAAGAGGTGGAGGGTTATCACAAACTGGAGGCATCCACATGGCTTCTACAAAGCACAATTGAATAACATTACCACTATGTATTCAAGAGTAAAACTTTATATAAGTTAGACTGGAATATTTATTTACAAGTTACAACTCGAACAATCTATTGAAAACGCAACAGTTTATGACTGCAGACCAACTGAGGGAAGAAACGACTTAACTCACATCGGCAGCGTGCACAAACCAAACTGTGAAGCTAGACTATTAAAACAAATCAACCTACAATAGGAGCGTACTACCCCTACAATAACGCTTATGAAACCAACTCATGTGACTATATTTTACTTTATCACAATCTGATTTTACACATGCACACTGAATATTTGCCATTGAATAATCCAGAATTTGCTTTCAGTTTACAGTTTACAATTTATTTAGGATAGTAGGCTATATGCCTGTGTTAATCCTTTCGATTTATTGCATACAGGAGGTTCAATCTCGCCTTGAATGAATCAACGGATGGCGCTGATACGACGTGTTCCGGTAGGGAGTTCCAATGGTTCACAATTCGATGCGAAAAACGGATTTCCAGACGCAGACGATTCGACCGTGGTTTTCGGACCTTGAGGTGATGTCCTCGCAATTGGTTGGTGCTAGAAGGAAGAAATAATTTAGATAAATTAGCTCCGAAATCATTTCTTAGGATACGGTATGCTAGTATTAGGTCACCCTGAAGTCGTCTGTATGACAGCGGAAATAAACCCAGTCGACTTAACCTCTCCTCATATGACAGGGTTGAGAAACCCTTTATTAGCTTAGTTCCTACTCTTTGCACCCTTTCTAATAAGTCTATTTCGTATTTGAAACACGGGCTCGCTGCCTGGATCCCATATTCCAAATGAGGTCTGATATAAGTCGGATGTAATATACGAAATATATCAGCGTCAAAGTTCGCAAAAGCCTTGCATATGGCCCATAACATTCGAAAACCCTCAGTGGCTGCAGTTCTACAGTTTGTTGCTGTTTTCAAGTCATGCTGCAAAACCACTACCAAGTCCTAGTACTCAGTGACCACTGGGAGAGTAATGCCATTCATTGAGTAATTGTGCACGTGACTACGGGATACACGCATAACTACACTCTTGCTTAAGTTAATCTCCAAGGCCCAGCGCTTACACCAATCACTTAACAAGTTTAAATCTTCCTGCAAAGCAAGTTGATCACTTTCATCGTGCAAAGCCCTCCATATCTTGATGTCATCAGCAAACAGTAAGCAGGATGACTTAACTACCGATGGAATCTCATTAACATAAATCAGGAAAAGAAGTGGGCCTAGAATTGTACCCTGAGGAACGCCACTCTTAACCGATTCCCATGTTGATAAAACCCCGTTAACTCGTACTCTTTGTCTTCTGTCCTTTAGAAAGTCTTGAATCCAGTCGGTAACCACTTTATTGATTCCCAGACTACCTAACTTTACTAGAAGACCTGAATGAGAAACCCTGTCAAACGCCTTGCTAAGGTCTATGAATATGGCATCCACCGGTATATTAGCATCAGCTGAGCTTGCCCAACTTTCTCTGGCCAAAAGAAGGTTGGTCAAGCAAGAATGACCTGCTCTAAAACCATGCTGTTCCACAGCGAAAAGTTTGTTCCCTTCAATGAACTGAATGATACCATCACGAATTATTCTTTCTAGTAGTTTAACAACAATACTGGTCAAACTAACAGGACGATAGTTCTGAACTAAGTTTCTAGATCCGGTTTTGAAGACCGGACTAATGATGGCATCTTTCCAGTCTCTTGGACATTTAAACTGGTCCAGAGACATATTGAAGATTACCGACAATGGCTCGGCTATGCTTTCAGCCAATGCTGTTAATATACGTGGGTGGAGTTCATCAGGGCCACTGGACTAACCAGGATTGAGCCTTAGAAGCCACTTTAGGACAGTATCCTTTCCAATGTATAAGGGTGCCATTTTCAAGTTACCTTCTGGAAAATTTACAAAGCTGGCACCAATATTATCAGAGAATACTTGACTAAAGTGCTTCATATTGCTTCATATGCACTTCGCCGAGTTAAGCAGGCTACCATTTGTTTCGCGTACTTCAAATATTTGATTTCGCTTACAATACACTTTCCAGGTTTTTATCTGTGCTGGTAAATACAGCAGTGCTCGTATTTGGCCATGTGCAGCGTTCAGCACATTGTAAAGCGTGAAAATGTTGATGCACCACAGCATAATAATCGAATTCGCATGCAGTCCGCCATGGAGAGAAGGCGGGGTTTCGCTTACTCTGATTCCTCTCCCGTCCCACCGTCCTTGTATGTCAATCCACACATGAATCAATACTCCCAAATTACAACAGTCCGAATGAGCTCCTCTTGATTCAAGTGAAGAGGAATCTTTCTTATGCAACAGGCCACATTCAATTCGAACACATTCAGACCGCCTAAATGATTATTCTACAGCCGGTGTACAGAGAGAGGACAGAAACAATCACTGTTCCCGTCAATGGAAGTGAGCATTGAACGTTTGTTTTTGGAACTAGTAGCCGTTGTTGGACAACTCGAAGGCGCGAATGGTTCGATCGTTTGCAAGATCAACGAAGACGAAGGAAAACTAATGAAAGTACGTAATAAATTTGCATAAAACAATTGTTAGTAGACTTGTACTGTTCTCCACTTTAACTGCCAAACATTAAAACTTCCTTCTTAAAACACTGGCGTTTTGGAGTTAAAGTCAAAAAAAGTACATAGTGTTTATCGGTGCGGAGCGTCTTCGTAACAATAGGAACATAGGGATAAGTTCCTTGACACACTTCCTTATTTCCCTTGTAAAATCATGCTGGAATATGTTGTCGTATCCACGTGGTAAGTGTTCGCTGTCCACTGCCCATTAATCCTGCTCCATTACAGCGTATGAATTGATAGACTGATGCACATGCAGGGGGCCAGACGGGCAGGAATATTTTCTTCACAGAGGAGGAGGAGGACAACTTACGGCTCGCAAAGTTCATTTGGGATATCCAAGCAGAGAATGTCTTACTGATTGATTTGAAGAGAGGCTGCTGGGGGATATCCGAAGCCTGATCACTTCTGAATTCCGAAGACATGAGAATGGCTTACTTTGGAACTGAGCACTGTTTGTATTTCGAGTTTCGTGGAGACGATATTATGATGTAACACAGCAGCAGCATCTAAAATACTTCTGCCCTGCCTATAAACAAACTGCTTCAAATTATTAAGACTTTTCAAAGAGGCTACAGGGTTGACTAAGAGTTATTTCTCCATTCATTTCAAAAAAGGGCTGGTGATGTAGTACCCCTATACCAACCGTAAACATGCTTTTTAATCTAATTTGTATACTTGCATTATATGTGTATACAGACTGATTTTATATATACTTTGCAAATACTTGTCCATTCACTGTTGAATATTACCTTGACACAATTTCGAATTTGACTACTGCTTCAATACATATTCGTAATCTTCACAAGTGCCTTTTGATTTACGTTGTGGGCGTCGAGTAGCCACAATGTCTGCGCGCATCAATAAGAGCGAAGAAATACATAAAATATATGTGTACAGCAGTTTAGTCAGACAACGCACGCAACAAAATTGGTGAGCCCGATGTGATTTTCGACCCGACGACCAATTTCGACAGCGACGACAAATTGGTGGCCTTGACGATAACTGGTTCACCTCGACGACGAATTGTTGACCCCAACGACAAATTTCGACCCCGACGACAAATTGTCCATCGCAACGACAACTTTTCACCTCGACGATAACTTGTTCACTGTGACGATAACTTATTGACTCCAACGACGTTTTGTTCACCCGGACGCATCATTACACTTGCTGGATTAATTAAACTCTAACTTTATCGGATATATATACATATAATAGACATTTCGAGCTGATTCTTGTGCTTTCTCATCGCACAACTTGCAGTAATCTGTGGTAAGCACCTGCATTGCATGTTTTTCTGTTTTACCATATTCTTGGTGTGCATAATTTTTGCCATTTTGTTACTGTTAAACCATTTTTCTACGAATTGTATCATGTCTTCCGATACCCCTGATACCTTACAGCTGGGATCTGTTGGTACCATTTCTCTTACTGTACCAGTTTTTAGGCCCAAAGACTCCCATCTTTGGTTTGCACGACTGGAAAATTATTTCACTGCCAATAAGCTTACGTCACAGACGGTTAAATTTGGCATATTGAGTACAGTACTACCAGACGAAATCGCCGAACAGGTTCGACAATGCATAGTTCAGCCCAGCACAGACGCTCCTTACGACAAGTTGAAAGAAGAAGTACTTCGATGCACTTCACTTTCTGATAGGCAAGCACTCGATCGTTTGTTAAGCAACGTAGAGCTAGGCGATAAAACCCCATCACAACTCATGAGGCACATGCAAAGCCTAGTAGCAGGAAGAGATATCGACAAAAGTCTCTTTTACCAAATTTGGTTGCGACGACTTCCTGCAAACATTCAACAAGTTCTTGCTTACGGAGATGACGACATTGACATTGAGAAGCTTGCCAAAATCGCAGATCGCATGTATGAGAGGTCAACACCTCAATCTGTTGCTTCCACCAGCAGAATGCCAGACACTGACGACAGGATACAGGCTCTAGAACACAAAGTCGACACCGTACTGAGTCAGTTAGCAGCACTGACCACACGCACACGACCAAGCCGTTCTAGAAGCTCGTCTCGTCGACGTCTTTCTCGATCACCCAGCACGTCACGACATCACGATACTATTTGCTGGTACCACCGTAGTTACGGAAGTAATGCACGACGGTGTCGTTCACCTTGCAACTTTCAGGCTAAACCAAAAGATATATCGTCATGTATGAAAACTTCTACTGTTGGCAATCTACGATCTAGCAGTCGTTTGTTTTATGTAACAGATAGAAATACCGGTACTACGTTCTTAGTCGACACAGGAGCAGAGGTTAGTGTTCTCCCTCCGACTACGCAGGAACGTCAACATCCTGACCCTGCAGTTACGCTCCAAGCCGTTAATAAGTCTAATATTGTTACATATGGTAGTAAACGAATGACTTTAGATTTTGGTCTGCAGAATACCTACACTTGGTCTTTCATCATCGCAGACGTTCCATCCCCAATCCTTGGTATAGATTTTCTACAGCAACACAAACTGCTGGTTGATCCGGTTAGCCCTAAGCTTATAGACTCGCTCAATAAAAGGTACATCGCTGGTACGATTAGCC